GAAATATCATCGGTCAATAAATCAATTTGTAAGTAGTGATGTATATGAATTTCTATGCATGACATGATAAACATGTCATAAAGATGGCTATGGTCACACAAAATGAATGTTCATCGCCAACACATTACTGATTCATGTTTGGTGCATAATATTTTAATTCCTTTTTGGTATAATGAAAATATAGTACATACCATTATTCTTTTACCTATTCTGATACATACATGCACACAATCTACACATACATGGAGACGATCTATACATACAACAATATATATTCACACTCCACCCAATCCCCACGTACCCACTATTTAATGCACTTTGACCGCTTGGGAAAGTGAACGGCAAAAACCCCTATTCATTGTTATATCAGCAGGCAGAGCGAGTCATATAGAGAGAGGGAAAGGAAAAGACACACGGTAAAGCAGGTACAGAAAACGTATACCCTTTTGTATTAATGCACAGTTCTTTTTATATTAAAAAGAAATTTCTCTGTTTTATTTAGATTTTCGATGTAACACATGATATGTTTTTCTTTCCCTTGAGATTTGCGTATTGTTCAGTCAATCGTTTTTTGTTAAAGGTTAAAAAGGAACAATCTTTTACAGTATTTGTTTGGCACTCTGTCTATATAGTATGTAGACACGCACAAAACCCAGCGTTTTAGTTCTATTAATAATCTTGCAAAATTCCGATAAAACCATATATTGATCTTTCTCACTAACCATAGATTCCTAAGCCTCTGTGAACTCTTTTTATAGAGTTATACTTCGTTTATAAATAGATTTTGTGTCTACTTCTTCAGTTTTCATTTCTATATAAATACTTGTATCTGATCCGATTTTTTCTCTCTTTATCTGGGTGCTCTTTTTCTGAGAAGAATTGGGAGATTTGAGGGAGAAAAGGGGGATTTTGGAATCAAGAGATTTTATGTCGGCAAGTTTTGATTTGGGTGTTGTGTTTGGGGCTCCGTTGAAGCTCTGTTCTTGTTCTTACAAATCTTCCTCTGCTCTCTGCATGCAAAAATCCCTCTGCTGTGAAATCCGGCAGAGAAACTTCGTTCTCTTCCCAACTGTTTCGATGCGTTTGAGGCCCAAAAGGTACGCCATCTAGCTTAAACTCATATGGGTTTTACATTTTTCTGTACATGCATATGTTTATAGGTGCTTGCGTATTTATTTGTATTTACATTTCTGTGAGATTCTCGTTTTATGCTATTATTTATGGGTTTCGGGTTTTGTGAGATTTACACAGATTTGTATTTATGCATAAATTTGCGAGATTTTTGTGATTTATGTTGTTCTTGTGGGGTTTTGGGTTGTTTAGAACGTTGATCTGCAATATTCATGTGCTAATTTTTCTGGGTTTTGTTTGTGTTGCAGGACTTGTTCTGGTGTAGAGTGTTTTGGTGGATATCTCATAAAGCGATCATTAAATCTTTTTGTGTTCTTGAGAGGTCCACTTAACAATCCGTGATAACTTATTCTCTTGAAGCCAATTTTTTTCCCTGCCTTTTTGTTTAATTTATTTTGGATAAACACAATTTTCTGGGTATTCTATTGAGGGGTTTTTGAGTTATTGAGGCAAATTAAAGATGCCTGAGCCTAGGAGACAATTGTCACCGAATCGACTAAGTGTTGGCAAAAAACTAAGAAACAAGGGCGAACCTACTAAACCCATGAGGAGGATCCGGATTGTTTATGATGACCCGGATGCTACTGATTCATCAGATGATGATGGAATCTGCGAGAAGAGGGTTAAAAGAGTTGTACGGGATGTTTTTTATCCGACTGGGGACTTCTGTCAGACGCCGAAAGCCCCTGAAACAGGGAGTTCAGTTCAGGAAAGTAGCAGTGGGGGAAAGAACCTAAAGAAGAAGAGGGTTTTAGCCGTTACTGAAAACAAGCGGAGTACTATTCCTCGGAAATACAGAGGTGTTCGGCAGCGCAAATGGGGCAAATGGGCTGCTGAAATTCGCGATCCTTTTAAGCATAGAAGGGTCTGGTTGGGTACTTATAATACTGCTGAGGAGGCATCGAGAGCTTATGAAATGAAACGCTTGGAATTTGAGGCATTGGCTAATAGCATTGACTCATCTGAGAAGAGTTCAGAGGATAAACACACTGACACTGATTGTTCTGTGGTGGGTTCTAAGCCTGTTACTAACCCGAACAAAAAACTTGCTGGTGTTTGTGTCTCTGAGGACTCAAGTGGAAGTATGGCATCACTTGCGACGCAAACATCCCCAGCATCAGTGCTGGAATTGGATTCTTCAACCTCTGCTTCTGGAATCAATGTCAAGTGTGATGATGAGAAATCCGAAAATGCTGTTAACAAAAAAATGGCTGATTCTGAACTAATGGATATGGAAATCTCAGCGTTGGCTCAAATTGGAGAAGGAATGGACTTGGATTTCGAGCTTGACGCTCTAATGACTATGGATTTTGAGCCACCGATGGATGAATTTTTCAGTGGTTTCGAAGACCTTCCTGGTTTTGAGGATGCTGGTCATCCTAGCGCACTGCCAGATTTCGACTTTGACTTCAATTTTGAGGTTTGCAATGATGTCTTATCTTGGATAAACGAAGAACCGCTGATGAATAATGAAGCACCCCGAATGAATGGAACTCCTGCACCCCTCAATATAGCTTGCCTTTAAATTTTGCAGCTACTAGGATTTAAATTATAATTATCATTAGTATCTCTTTTAAGTTATAGTTTTCTCGGAGAGTGTCATTTTTCCCAAGAACTCGAAGATTCAGTTGTCGAGACGGTTTCATTAAGAGCGTTCATTTGTATTTTATGAGAGTTTTCATGTGAGGGAGTTTTCGAAATTTACATTCCTTTGGGTTTTCCTGTGCTATTAGAGCTGACCAAAGGGTATTCACAGTAAACTCTGGTTATGATTTTGGTAAACGTAAGAGATGGGAAATAAATTATGGTTTTTGATCTTGAATTGTGATTTTTCTATCTTGGTAAGGTTTAATTTAATTGTTGGAACGTGTTTTGATATAATCAAATTTTCTTGTTATTTTAAATTATTACTATAAATTGTCTCATCAAAGGTTTTATAGTTGGGATTGATGGTTACATATTCCTAATAATCTGATTGTTTTGGTTCAATATTTTGTATTCTTGCAGATCAAGTCAAAACTAAAAAAGCAATTAGTTTTTCATTTGGACAATTCCCCCGTGTACAGGATTCTTGACTTGCAGATAGTTTTTCATTGCTAATATTTTGTCGAATGATGTTTTGCAATTTACCTTAATAAATAGCTGTACTTTTGGAGGTTGGAGTTAGAATATTGACTTCGTCCTTGAGCTCTGCAGATGAATATGAATCGTCGAGTTAAGAATTTGAAACGGACAAATTTCATCTAACCTTGCAAGTCTAGCACTCAGGTCCCGTCAAGTGCGGCCGACTTGGCCCATCTTAAAGCACGTGTTTTGCTTGACTTAGATTGGTAATTTAATTCACTCTTAAACTTCTAAAAAGACATTACATATAATAAAGCAGGCTCGTGAATAGGTCAATTGGACAGAGCTGAGATTGCTATCCAATTTAGTTGTCCAATTTACTGTTCATCCAATTAATTACTACCATGTCATCAATTTGATGGATTGATGGTGAAGTTAATGAGAGTAAATTTAAGATAACTTGGATGACAAATCTCAACTTCATAGACCATGTTTGGTTGATAGTGAGAGATCTCTTTGATGTTTGCTCTACTAAGTGAAGCATATCTCCATCTTGAGGCCTTCACGCGGGTTATCCTATCTTTTGTTATGTACCTTTAAGCTTAGCTGTATCCCAATCAACGCTGGCCATATTATTTGTCTTTGATCATTTCTTTAATGCTTTCTCGTGACCTTAATTGTTTGGTAGGTAGCAACTTTGACATGTGTTTCTTGTTGTTTGGTCTATGGGACTAAATTAAGTGGATATGTGCTCTGTTTAATCGACGTCGAGGACCTCAATTAAATTTTATCTTCTCTTTTTTCTCTAATACTTTGATGTTGTCTATTGTTATACAATTCACGTTACTGAATAAATAGTTCTGTCAGTGGACGATTGGAGCAAAAATATTGACTTTGTCCCCATACCCCCTATATATGACCATGACTTGTTGAGTTTACGTTATGTAATAAATAGCTCTATTGTTGAACAGTTGGAGTTAGAATATCGATTTTGTCCTTAGGTTTTATACATTAGCATGACTCGTTGAGTTCACGTTACTTAATAAATAACTCTATCGTTGAACAGTTGGAGTTAGAATATCGACTTCGTCCCTGAGTCCTATACGTGAGCATGACCCATAAGGTTTGCATCATTTGAACTTGACATGCGAGACGGTCTAACTCACTCTTACTATTTTACTTAATGGGGCATTACGCATAATCTGCCTTGTAAGTAGATACGTGGACAATGATTGTTGATAGGGAGGAATCTCTTTGGTGTTCGATCTACCAAGTGAAGCAAATCTGCATCTTGAGGTCTTCGAGAGTGTTATCGTTTGTTATGTACCTCTAAGCTTAGCTGGATCCCAATTTCCCCTGCCCATGTCACTTGTCTTTGATCATATCTTTACTGCTGTTGTCTCGTGACATTAATTGTTTAGTAGGTAGAATTTTTTGACACCGGTTTGATGTGTTTCTTGTTACTTTTACTGCTGTTTAATCGGCTTTTTAATGTGAAAACAAGGACATTTTTCTAGTACAAGAAAATGATGAAAGATAGATATCAATTATTATGATCAAATTATATGTTGAATTGTTAAGAGTATGATAATACTTAATTTGAACGACTAAATA